CTGCAAGCAAAGTTCTCTGTACCAGGTACCTGTATTATTAGGATTTGTGTTCACACAGCAGAGCTCTGTGTTGGAACAGTAAAAACCCATGTTTGAACAAACCCAAATTTGCAAAGTCATTGTGAATTTTAAGAATGGAACATGCTGTCTAAAGAAACTACTGTTGTTACTCTTACTCAGAACAGCATCCGTGTTAGCAGTATAATTTTAACCAATGTCAGTGTGGATTTAATGAATGCATTTGTCTTAGTAGGGTGATACAAACACTGTTTTTACCTGGGCCATTGTTTTAAAAGATACTCTGAAGTTCTGAATAACAGCTCAATCACCTTTACTTTAGCATGAACAGATGGAGAAAATAACTGCCGTATAATAGTCATTTCAGGAATGCTGGAATAAGCATCTGTGGGTGAGTGTGTACTTTAGTACATGCAGAGCAAATGTCCTGTCCTCCCTTTGTGACCATACCAGTGCATGGGGAATATGGTCAGACCCATGTTCCTTGACTTACCTTACGAATTTCCACATGATTTCCATTGGTCTTTGAACTTCCAGGCATAAGCAGCTAAATTAGTACCATCTAGAAAACAGACTATTCGTATCATCTCCTCACTCTTAACCTGCCTGTGCAGTCTGAGCCACAAATTGACCCCTATTGATCTGATTTGACTACAGTTCTGTGGAGTAGACAAACAGTGCAATAGAATCCAGGGACCCTAATTCAAGGCACCTTCTTTAGGTTCCTAGGTAATAATTCTTATTTGCATTAATCACATTCATCAGCAGAACCTCAGGCTGCCTCCTCACTTATATGCATTGCTGTTCCTGACAACAGAACAAAAAAGTATCTGCTCTGAAAAAAGAGTGTTTTAAGTATATTGATACTTCATAGTTGCAAAACTTAACTGTTAGAAAGAAAACTGTTTTTCAAATCAATGGCTCACACATTACTGTAAAATATATCGATTAAAAACAAAGCATAATGTTAGTCATTTAGTCAGTAGAGTGATGCAATACTGAAATAAATTTATCCTTTGACTTTTGCATTAACCTTTTATTGACTGCTTGCATACTCATAATTAACACACACTTTAGCTAGCTTGGTTAATTTTAGCATTGTGATCAGTGTCCTCTAATGTAGCTGATACCCTGATCATCAAAATGTCAGTGCAGCCCAAGGGACCATAGCCAGTCAACTTCTGTCTCAGTGAATGCACACCTGTCCATGGTGAAATTAGACACCTTCTCAGGGAAAGTGTCCTGTATTGTCATACAAATAGTCCTACAGTCATACAAATGTTTGTCATGACTTAGATGAACTTATATTAATATTCAGCTATTTGTAAATATTAATGAGAAAAGTCCATTTGGCAAAAATAGACACAAAGGGGATCAAAAATCTGTGAAGTTTACAAGGGACAGGTAGTGAGAATGTGCACTGCAACAATAACTAATTGCTCCTTTAAAATAGGCTTTTTAAATTGAAGCTGGAACAGTTATTGATTGTTTTAACAAGTAGGGACCGTGAAGTTTTGTGCATACTGCACATCGTTAGACAAATCATCATCCTTTCTATAATACGTTGGTGAACATGTATTATCAAGATATTGGAGATAAATTGCTCTGAAATACATCATGGCAAATTTTCTGTTCTGCTGCAAATAAGGTATGAAAGGTGCCTTGATTTGGCATCTGTTCTGTATCTCAAAGCATGTGTTATTTCCACTCTTAACACATTTTGTGCATACAATATACACAGATTAGACCTACTCTCTTTTCGAGATTTGACTTTATTAACTCAAATAGCAGGTTTTAATTGATATATAATACTTTAATTAACTTATAATATTATAAATCTTGGTACTTTCTCACTACCACCGTACTTTGATGTTTGCAGTGTTTCACATGCGAAGCCTCATAAATTCTTTTTTATCTGTGAAAAGATAGAATTTCTATTTATCCTGAATTATCATTGCTAACTTATGTTAGCTATCTTTCCCCAGCTACAAAGAAATTTTAAATAAATCTGTGCAGTTATTTAAGTGCCTTTGTTCTGCTTCACTTTAAAATGTTACTATCCTTTTGTAGGATATTCAGGTCTGTTACTCTGCTACAAATTAAAGACCATTGTAGGAACAATTTCTCCCACCGAAATTTATTAAAATCGATAGTAATATACTCATCTGGAAAGTACTTTTCTTTCACCCTAACTCTGAGTCAGAAAGCACATATTTGGATGACTGCATTCAAGCTTGTGGATGCCATTCAGGTGAATTGCTTAATGAACTGCCAGGCGCTACAGTGACTGCTTAGAGCCCAGCCCCATAGCTTTAAATATGAGAAACTTGGCTTGGCTTTGATGTCAGCAGATCTGGCACAGGGATTGTAATTTTGGTCAAAGTAGGTGACTCACAAAATGTAAAAATGTAACGTTTGCTGCTGTTCTTGATAGTAATAAAAAGCAAAGCAATATAAATCCTGTACAGAAAGACAAAGTAGATGTGGGATTGCAGAATTTGGAATGTTATGGCATTGCTTTCCCCTTTTTTATAATTTTGCAGTACACTGATGCATTTCTGTCATCAGACTTGCACAAGAAGTCTGAGGACCTGACACACTTCCATCCCTCTAATCGCTCACGTGGAGTGTGATATGGCTAAAACTTCCCAAGTGCATGATTGCCTGGAAGTTAAGGCACATGCTTAGTTGAGGGATGACCTTTCAAAGATGGCTCTGCTGATAAGAAAAATAGAAAAGGGAGAGTAGCAACTAGAATAGTTGCTCATGGTCTGTCCAGTCACAGCATCGCTGCAACTGCTGCCACATTTACAGCAACACAAATGCCCAGACCCCAAATGTGAAAGAACAGCTGGTCAATCCATTTGTATGAGAGAACGGGGAAAAAAAAGAGATGTGAAAGGTAAAAAAAGGGCTCCAAAATGGTGAAGAAGCTAAAAGTTGGTATGTTTTTCCTCTCAGTGAAAACTGCGTTGTTCATAGCAGATGTGTGAGAGAGAGAATGTTTATTATTATTATAAGTTGAGTTTTGCAGACCACATAACATGCCTGCAGTATTTACTGGCTGAGCTTCTTGATTTGTCAGCTGCAATAATCTCTACATGGTTAATTTATCCACTTTTAGATTGAAATGCTTAAACTGGAATATCTTATACTACCCAGCAAATTAAGCGTATTATTTTGTGCCAAGACGGAAAATAAAGCAAGATTTTAAAAGCCTTATAGAGTTATGCTGTAATTAGTTTCAGCTTCCCCTGCATATTAATTTTCTCCTGTTCCTTTATATAATTTGGAAAATGTCTTCAGAACATGACGGCACAATCAGTTAAGTACCTCTCAGAACTCATACACTAAACTGCATTTGCTCTAACAACTATTATAAAGCAGCCGGCAAAACAAATCCTCTGTTATTCTGTACAGTGCAGCTTATCAATGCAAACAGTTTAATATTTATGCTAAGAGGATTGTCACAAGTAGCTTCTGTTCCTTTAATTCTTGTTTTAAATAAATAATGAGAACATTTAAACACATTACTCTTCCCAGGGCCCTGAGGTCGGCTAATCTTATTATTTATGAAGTGATGTGCTACATAATAGTACTTAGTGCATGTTAACAGATGCTATTATCAGGGACTGATGTGGAGAGCTGAAGATATATTGGAATGTTACGTGTTAATACTGTCCTTGTAGTGTAATGTACGATGGATTGAGTGCCCAGGATGCTGGTGCGGCAATTAACCACACACCAACATGGGTGTAAAGCTGAAGTATGTTTTCTCATGGGGATTACACTGCTATTAATAATTCCCAAGAGAAGACGACATCTTTCATTTGGAAACAGTCTCTTCCAGAAGGCCGACCGTGTAGACAAGGAAGTTGAATGTGTCTATATTTATAGAGTTCGTTTTACAGAGATGAAAGACACATATATGTTTAAATCAACTTTTAAATTGTGAGAACAATTATGTGCTTTATAGAACATGAATTTTTAAAAATGTCTTACAAGAGATGAAAGTGTATTTCTACAATTTGCTTGTTATCTCTTTGAAGAACTACGTAGACCTGCAGTATACACCAAAATTATAGTCATGCTTAGCATTTTCTTTGTCTTGCACCATTGCAAACATTAACCAATTAATGAGCAACATGCAAATTGTTTGAGGGGCGGGTAGAAGAGAGGGGGAGGAACCCTGCTTGAACTATGACAATTTTTTCATGCAGCATGTTGTATTACAGCCTAATCTTAACAGATGTGATGGTTGCCACTTATAAAACTTTCCTCTGTGGGCTGCGGTTCAGTTGAATATTATAATTAGACTTCACTAGTATTGATGAATAATCCATTTAATAAAAAACACTGTAATTTAAACATTTTCTCTGGGGACTAACATACACTAACCTCTTAATTTAATTTTATTGAAGTTTTGCCCACCTATTCATCATTGGAAGTTGTTATTAACCTTCATTTCCATTTATCTTTATAGAATTTTCTCTTTTTATATTGCCCTTTTTAGAGCTAAGCAGGTTGATACACTTGTAAATCTCCAGAATCTACAAAGCTAGTCCGGCTTCTTTAATATTGTTTAATCTATCCCCCCTGACCTTAATGCTGTAAATTCAGTTTAATCTTTCTCAATAATCTAGTAATACATTGGAAACTGGCAAACATTTAAATCTGATAATGGTTTAATCACATACTTTAAATAACAGCTGAGATAATGAAAAAATAATTCACCATGTAAAGGTACACTAACTGAGTTTTCTCTGTGATTGGCTTTTTGAGAAATCCCTATAGAAAATACAAAGCCTACAACAGAAATCAACTTCACTGGAAATGAACAATCCATTTGTTCAGAAGATGTTGTATTTCTTTTTTATTATCATCTTTCTCTTTAAATTAATGCACAATTATATCCTCGCTGAGTGTTCAGTTTCTTGATACAGTTTTACTTAAGTAGTTCATCTGCTTACCTTTCTTTTCAGATGCCAGTCAGAAGCAGCAGAGAGCTTGCCAGAAGACCAGAAACCAGAATGCCATCCCTTCTGGACAGATGATGAATGTAATATGCCTCTGCCATATGATCTTGAAGAAGTAATTGCTAATCTACAAAATCTTGTTCAGTGGGTGGAATAACAAGTGACCTTCCAGCCTAGAATTATTGATGCTCGTCATTTGAAGAGAAGCCTGTTAGTTTAACATAAATCTTTTCAGCTTCATGATTCTTTGGTCGTGTGTCATTTTATGTGTCAATGCAGATTTTACCACTCTTTACGCAGTATCTTAGTTACTGTCTCATAATAAAAAAGACCAGGCCTCAAACCTACAGAAACAGGTGGCTTTTAAGTCCAGAACACCAGCCTCAGTTCTTTCCTCCTTAACTCTAATTCCCATTGACACTACAGCCCATCGGTACTTGTGTTTCCACAGATTTCTTTGACATCTAAATTTCATCTTCCATGAGTGCCCAGAACTACCTTTGCCTTGGCAGGTTGGAGCAACACGAGCCATAGCTCACACGTGACAAAGGAGAATCCATGATCTGGGTATCCTAAGGAGAGGCCAGCTTGGGGTGAGCCTGCTGGACATCTTCAGAATAGAGGTGTGACTTCTTCATCTACTAACATAGGCAGAGGTGCAGGAGATGATGGAGAAAGTCCTTTATGCGGTGGCCTTTTGTTAGAGCATTTTTTCAGATGAGGAACTCTGGAGGAGCATCCTGACATAGCAAGACTTTCTTGCTGGTTTTCATGATGGCAATTGAGTAGTACTAGGAGAGATTTACAGTGTGAATCTACACCTCCTGGGCTCCCTGAAGCTCATAATTCAGTTCCTAACCATTACTTTGTTTCTGCATGTTGTGAATCCTATTCTGAGGCCCGGTTTCCCAGTGTGTTGTCTAAAGAGCTGATGGACCTAATCAGGGGTTTCCACTTGGGGTGTCAGGTCCCCTGACAGATTAGATTTAGATTGTGTGATACTGGGCATTGCAGCATCTGTGTTGATCTAATGAGATCTATGAGAACAAAACTAGAAGCCTATGAGAAATTAAGGTATTTGTGATCTGCTTTGTAGTAATGTACTATAAAAAGAACAATTCTGTATTGGACGATACAGAATTCTCCTGAGTGAGAGAGAGAATTTTTGTTTGGTTAAGTTGCTGTTTTAACTCAAACTGGTGTACACCTTTTCCTTCGCCATAAAAAGCAGAAGAAAATCATATTACAGTGAAACAGCACTCAGTCTGTATTACCACCACAAAAGCAACAAGTAAGACTCAAAGTTTGACATTGCCACCAAGAAATGAATACACCTCCTGTGTTAATCTTCTGTTTAAAATCACTGTTGGGGCCAGGCTTACCCAGAGCATACCAGTATACTGTATTGGCAAAGCACTCTGTGTGCGGATGAGGCTTGTACTGCCGAAAATTGTATTTTTGACAGTACAACATATGCCAGACCTCCCTGGAGCTAAAGAAGCTGTGCCAGCAAAAATTCAGTTTTAGTGGTACAAAACTGTGTCCACACCTACCGGCTTTTGCCAGGACAATTATATCAAGTAGAGATTGTACTTCTTAACGCCTTTGACATAGCTATGCCAGCAAAAGTGTAAAGACCTGCATCAAGCGTTTTCATTGTAGTCCTGGACTTCTGCAAAAACTGTTAGCCACCATGTAGACTGTAAAGACTGTCTGAAGAAGAAATTACTATTTAAAGTAGGTTTGATTATATTATAACCTTGATCCATACATTTACCTTTTGTCTCTTGTGCCACAGATGTCTTAACATTTGGAAATGCTATGTTAGGGGCATAGCATTTTTTTTCCTGCAGTAGCTAAAGCTGGCTTTACTAGTGGGCAAATACCATATATTTGGATTAATGCCACACTAAATACTGTTTACTTGGAAATCACTTAAAGAGAAGCTACCTGAAGATGTGGGAATTCTGCTTTTGAAAAGGTAGTTCTCACAGAAACAGGTATTACTTTGGAAATGAGCAAGATTAATTCAAACAAGCTAATGATGTAACACTGTTAACACAGTGTTTGAGGGGATTGTTTGTTTATGCTGTTACTTTATGATTATTTTGTGTTTAATTAAGCACTGCTAGAAGCACCAGGGATCACAGTATTGAAATGAATCTGACAGCCATAGAGGGTAGAGAAGGCACATCAGTGTTGTAGTTTGTAGCTGAAGTGGAGCCATAGCTATTAAAAAATGATTGGCAAATAATTATTTCCAGCAGTAGTGAAAAGAACCCACTGGGATCTTTCTTGTATTAGGAGAGTGCTGGCAGCAATAATAGAATTTTTAAAAATACATGATTCTAGGTCTTGGGTATGCTGAAGATTTAGGCTAGTGAATTAGCTGGACTAGTACTAGCCTCAGTGCAGTCAGATAGCACTCATTTAAGCCATGGATGGCAATGACATAGACAAACGAACACCTCTGGATTGGATAAGACCCGAGATTCACTGGCAAAATACCAATAATCAAGTGGTTAAAGAGGATTAATGCTCTGTGTTGCACTCCGGTCTCACATCATCTAAATCAGTTTAACTTGATTGAGTTCAGTTGAAATATAGAAGTATAAGAAGATTTCATATCTCCAGAGCCCACAAGAGTTGATAACAAAAACATGAGTAAGGTGGTTGGAACTGTTTGAAGCATGTAGTAATGCCAAAAGGAGAACATGTTTGAAGGTGAATACCTGCAAAAGACCTGAGAGATCAAGTATAAATTTTTGCTGTGTTTGGATTACATACTAGAATCAGACAAATACTTCAAAGTTTTCTTTATTTTATGCAAATAGTTAAGATTTAGCTTATGTTGCAATGATACCTTAGCAATCCGTTTCTATTCCAGCATTAGACAACCTGTTTCCATTTTGGATGAGCTGAAAGACACAGCCTGTAATGGATGCTCTGTGTATAACAGCCATTTGCCAAGTCTGGATGCTCTAGAGCCATGAGGACCAAGGTCAGTTTTTCAGGGAAGAGGTGAGAACATAAATTAGCTTCTAACACTAGATTCAGTGATTCTCTTTAAATGGTGAAGTTCATGACTTTGCTTACATTTACTTTTCATCAGCCATGAAAGAATTAAGGTAAAATAGTTCATTTGCACGTGTGCGTCAGTCTAAATGGATTACAGAAGATACAGATCTGTTTGCCTGTCTGCACTTGCCTTTAGACAATATTCATCAATTTTACAAAAGCTACTGACTAAACATGGAACCAATACAACTGAAATGCTCGAGGCAAGGGCTTTCTTTAGAAAATCTGATACAGAGTTGGTTTTACACTGATAGAAGGAGAATGTTGGCAGAAAATGAAAAACTTTTATTGTTTCTGTAATTTGGGGATGAAAGGTAAAGGCCTTTTTTAAGTATTTGATAGAAAACTGATGTGTTATGCAATGTAATTAGAAATGTTTTTATAATGCTTTATTCACATCTCTGTATATGAAAATATTTTATCCTGTAAGTCCTTTCTTCTTTTTAAAAGGTTATGTAAATAAAAAACACTAATCTCGATACAGACGATTTTAAAGGCCTCATGCTTATGCTCTCAGCTTTACAGCAGATTCTGATGATCTAAAGTGTAAATAAGAATGCCAGGGGTAATCACCAACTGGAAACTGTCCAGGATGGGTAACATGCAACATAATAAATATCCAAATCTGTTGTCTTATTATCATCCAGATATAGTTTTAGTTTCACTGGTAATGATGCAAGATGCACTTTAAAATCATGCTGGACTTCTTAATTCTGTGGGTCAGATTCAAGGATTCCAGTGCTATAACAGGAAAAAAGAAATTAAAGGAATACTAAAATCCATCATGAAAGATGGCTAAAGTATTGTCATGTGTTAAGAGTGAGCATTGCTCCTTTCTCAGTTACAGTAGTGCCATTCCGTTAGTCCTGTGTCCTGCAGTGGAATTTGGGCTAGTGTAACAGAGATTAAACTAGCCCAGAACCTGATGTCTGAGCTGGGATGAGAGGAGGGGAAGAGAGATGAGATGCACATGAGATGCAAGGGATGTGCTTTCTCAAGGCCACAGCTTTATTAACTGAACTCATATGGGAGTCATTGAGCAGTAACTTGTACAGTGCAGGTCAGGCTCTCTCCTTTAATTGTTGCCACCTGGTGCAGATTTAATGTTGGCTCCTTAACCCCCCTCATGCCCCTGACAGCTGGTCCTCAGCTTTTTGCTAGGGGCTGATCACTGTCTTCTTGGACCAAAATTACAGAGTTGGGAAGTGTGGTTGTTCCACTGTAGCAACAGGCATGAGAAACCCTGATCCCCAGCTTCAACTTCCACCTCTGTCCTACTACACCTCCATGGACTGAGTACCTCCACTCAACATCTGTTTCCTGTTTGAGATTCAAGTTGCTTCAGCTCATCATCTGAACTATCCCACAGGGATGGTGAGCTGCTATGGGGAAGGGTCAGAGAAACAAACAGAATGCTGGTTGCAGTGAGGTTCCTTGTCCAAAAAGACAACCACTGCACTCCCCACAGCAGAATGAAGAGCTCAGCCCTACACTAATCTAGCATTACAGGGTGGGAGCTGTTAGACAGTGATGAAAGACTCAGGCAAAAACCAGCACCAGCACCATCCCATGTTTCTGAGGACTGCCAACGTGGCCTGCTTCTGGCTGTCACCTCACCCCACCTGCAAGGGCAGAGGCAATCCTGAATAGAACCACTGTTCTCTTTCCAGTCCAAACTGAGACTCATCACCTCCAGTGTGGCTGGGCTAGCATCTTAATTTACATTCGTCTGTCTCCTTCACCTTAGCCTGGGGGCTTTCATTGAACAAGAGAAGATAATTTATACAATTGCAAGAAGACTGCAGTTAGTAAGGCTGCAGAACTGGCTGAATAACATGTCAAATAAAAGCCAATAAATAACAGATAAAATTTTCACATTAAAATGCTGATGTTTAGGTGTGAGCACTTCACACATGACATGAAAACTATGGTTTGTCTTCTTGTTGCTTTGGAGATAGCATTCATAATTCATATGATAGAAAAGGACATGCTATGCTATGGTTTACATCCTCTAGTACTCCATTGATTTTACAGTGTTTGTCCATGATGAATCAGAATTTGGTCACAAAAGTTGTTCTCCTCCCCCGCCGTATCGTCAAATACTTGCTTTCGTGCCAACACATCTTGGTCTGATTAGTCCCCTTGATTAGAGGCTAAAGTAAAAAGTCAGGTGTATAGGATTCCCATTATCCTTTATTTCACTGCTTCTAAGAACAGGTCAGATAGAGTTATTTCAGTGAAAATGTGAACAATCAACTTCTGTTTACCATTAACCTTCAGTTTTCTTTTCTTAAAATCAAATCAGGGCTTGGTAGGCAGTTATTTTCATACATGTCCCTTGATCAGTGGAACAATCTGTCAAAAGCCATTAAAGCCTCTATTAGGTTGAATTGCATTCAAAGCTAAACTATCCAATCATTTAAAGGGCTGTGATGATTGTTTTTAATATAGTATACATTGATTTCTCTCTCTGAGTAGTAACACAACTTTGAAACTAAGCATGTATGACTAGGGCTTTTGCTATCCAGCATGTCCTGAGAAGCTTGGTTTTGTGTGGAAGATGAATATCTACATAAAAAAAGGAAAAAATGAATGCAGAGAAATCACCTGTATATTCTCAGATGCTTTTCCTCCATTTTTTCATATTTCATTATATCCATTAAGGTGTAACATATATGGAATGGGAAGAAATTTTCCAAGGTCCTTTGCTCAAATGCTTGAGTGAAAAATTCAACATCTAATTGTAGTAATATTTTAAAGTGGCTTTTTATCTTAAGATCTCAGGATGCTTTACACAGAGAAACTGAGGCAGAGGTCAAAAGTGCAGCTGTGTTCTGACTGCTAATGCTGGAACTGAGCATACGTAATCCTCCATCACTGACTGGCATGTCTCGATTACTTCCAGTTAATCAGCTCAATTTACAGATTAAAAATGGTCTCATAGAATGTTTTTTCTCCAGAGATATATCAGCAAGTGGAGCTGGATTCTGTCCTCCTCATGTCATATTTAACATATTTTTAAATTGCCTAACATACAATAATACATCTCATGTAATAAAGATCTTTCAGGCCTCCTAATGTTTGATCAAACATTCCAGTGAATTTTAGATACATTCCAAGTCCCTGAGCTCTCAATGGGAAAGGTACATTATATTGGAACTACTGAATCATTCCATGGAGAATATGCAGATATGCAGTATATAATACTATATAATATAATCCACACTCTTTTAGCTCAATTTTAAGTATGTCCACTGCACACCTGACAAGGTGATATAACTGCTGTACTAGGAAATTCTTAAGAAAATACCCTGTTGGTATTTGGGTGCTGTTTATCAAGGTGAAGATGCATTGCTGGAACAAACTGGAATGCTGGTTTATGCACCTGTTAGTGGTTCTGTCTGGTTCCTATTTGGTAGTCTGGTAGTACTTTACTGAGAGCACTACTTTTCTAGTTATTTTGATGAACATCCCAATAATTTATTACCCAAACATTATCAAAGCATTCCACAATTCTTTCATTGCTGTTCTTTCTCTTCTATCCACTGATGCACGTTCTTTCCCTTTTGTCTCAGTATTAACAGTAATGTAATTAACAAGTTGTGTTCTTTGTTAGGCTGACAGGACTTTAAAGTGAAAAAACTTTAAAAATATGTATCAGATAGCATTTTCTCAAGTGCATTTATTTTCAAAGCAGTTTATTAGGATATTTGTGCTCCTTGATATTTTTAATGCTACATGTAATTTTTATTAAGGACTGTTTATATAACACTGTGAGATACATGGTGTTATTTATGTTTGTATTATGTATTTGCTAATTTACCAACATTTATAAAATAAACCACTCAAAGAATCTGTTTGTCTATCATTTATCCTCCAGAAAGTATAAGGTCTTGTCTTCAATACCTTGTCATTGCAGTGCATGGAAGAAGAGGAGGGTATTTTTCACACTGTCTAACTTCAGGTGTCCTACATGAGAAAATTAATTTCTGTAAGCTTCCTATATGCTGAATGGTGAGAGGTAGGCTTCTTCAAAGCAGCAGACTCAAAGATGCTCTGAATCTACTCTGCAGTAGGGCATCTCTCTCTACCTGAACTGTATTGCAAGTCCAAGTTAGGCGGCACAGTTATCCTCATCTACTTATGCTGACAATTTAATAATGGTAAATAGATAAAAGAGATAATGGAAAATTTGTTGAAATATTTTAAATTAATAAAATTAAATTATGGTTATATTGCAAATCTTCTAGTAAGGAAGGCAGATTATTTTCTGTTACTTTGGTAAGACTCATAATGTAAATGGACATGACTGACTTCTATCCTCTGTAATAGTGTTTCCTTCAGCAAAAATTTATGACTCTGCTACTAGGTTTAGAAGATATTCTTCTGGCTGTGCAACCTCACACTTCCCATATTTGACACAAACTCTTACATTATGCAAGTAGTACGAACTCAGTGCTTACCAACACATCCTCAGCCTGTTTGTGTGTATAATTCTGTCTGTTGCAGTAGAGTTTACAATATGTAGTCATGGTAAACAAGGTAATATCAATGAAACATGTCTTGCAGATAGAGTAAAAGGTGGTGAGGTTTGTGGTATCTGTTTTTTCTATAGAACTTAATTTCACAGTTTTATCTCCCACTTACAGAAGATTTTGTGGAGGGTTCTACTGTGTCAAAGGAATAGTTATCGTCAGTTGTCTACATCTCATGGCTGTGGATAGCCTAAAGTCCAAGCTACCCCCACTTCAGGTCACAGAGCAAGGCAAGGACCAATACTGCAAATTTCCTCTGACACTCTGAAGGATGCCATCGTAGAATACAGCGGAACAGTTTGATGTACGCATGCCCATGTCGCTGAGATGCACTGCAGTGTTCTGCATTACCTGGAGTTCCCTTAATGCCAAAGGCTGTGTGCCCAAGCTATTCTGCATTACTAGATTCCAGCCAAGAGGTGACGAAAGTGTGAATAACAGAGGCCAGGTCATTCCCTGCCAGGATGGAATGGACTCTCCAAGCCAAAAAGAGTTGACAGAGAGCATTATTCTCAGATACTCCAGCTTAGAATCAGCAAGGCATCCAAGAAGTAAGAAATTTGATTTCTTAGCCCAGAACAATCTTTCCCTGGCTTCAGAAGAAGTTTAATTGATTTAACCAAAAGTCAGTACACAGGCAGCTGGATGGAGACCCGTTTCCAAAACTGGTATTATTCTGAAACGTTTCTGTCAATTCATTGTAACATACATTACATGTATCTAGAAAGACCAAGATGAGCATCCCTGGGATCTGGAGTCCCTTAAATTGTACCTTTTTTCTGGTTCACTCAGAGCCAAAGGTTCTCTAGATTTTCCTGTTCCTTAACTTTTCATAAAAATGGGCAAAACACATGGAAGTAGTGACCTTTCGAAAAAAGATGTAATCATCAGAGGGGCCTTTTCTGGAGGGATACAAGCACAAGATGACATCACTCCTCTTCACCCTAGAGGAGGCATCTTCTGGGGGGGTGAGGGGGATAAGGCACTCTTCCAGTCTCTGTACTCGAGAGCAGCTTGTCTTAAATCAGGCAAAGACTAATCAGGATGCATTTTAACTTTATCCTAATTCCATCCTTTCTATAGAAAACCTGTCATGAGAACCTAAATTCTCTTTGAGGGGAGGGACTTGTAGTTGTCCTTTCATCATAAAGACTCTAGCACCCTGTTACATACAGTTATCACCCCACAAATAAGAGTCACACAAAGGTTATATGCCCTGCTGTACCTAAAAGATTTTCTCCTTTCCGTTTGGTGATAAGACTTTGTTTCTGAAATAAAAGGTCTCAAGTTATATTGCTGAAGTTGCAGGTGTGCAATTTATCTGTCAACCAGAGTGCCTTTATTTTGCAGTCATACAGTCATAACTTGAAGTCATTTTTACTAAACATTTTCAGAAGTGTTGGGTTTTTTATTTCAAGATCATTCGAATTAAAGAACCATCATCTTAAAACAGAAGAACCACACTGAGTTTGTAAAAAGGTAAAAAGAAGTAGGGAAAGTTTATATGACTCTGGATACTTGTTTTTTCAGTGAGTGAAGAGTTTGTAACTGAATCATCTTATTTACTAAAGATAGCATACATGCAAGTTTTCATCTAATCTATACAATATCTTCTTTGCACAACTGTATTGCATTTCAGCAGGTATGTGTGAAACTTGTTGCATAAGTATCACTAAGGTTTTGGAACTAACTGCAATTCATAACTTAGGCTGCTGTTATTATCCTATTCCTAGCTGCATCTTAATTATTAGGGTGAAAATAAAGAGCACTCTTTTATAAGCCTTCATATCTTCTGTTTACAAGGATTTTACTAACATCTAATAAATTTAATGACCTCTAATAACAAGAGGAAGTGAAATCCTACTTAGGAAATTCAAAGCTTTGCAATGGATCTTCTGGCTTTATGGCATTTCAAACTGTAAGAATGTAAAAGCTGTTTAAGGAGCTGTTGCTGGGTTCCACTAGCTGCAGAAACTGTTAAGTTATTTTTGTTTCTCTTTTATTGCTTAATCTCTAGGGCCTAACTCTGGGCTACCTGATAAAGCAGTCGTTCAGGAACTTTAAACCATACAAGCTTTGACTTGATAGACATAGAACAAGGTCTTGTATTAAACATACATTTTAAAAACATAATTTAAAATCTGGAAATTGATTGTGGCTTGGCCTGCTTATGTTGAAGAGCTCACTGCTCCTTACTTTCTTTGCTTTGCTGATATTATTAGATCCGTTGTTCTTTTACCAGAGCTCCCAGCTGATAGAATTAAAATCAATGTAGTGCAAAGCTTGTTGGGCAACAGCACTTTCATTAGAGTCAGGGCCACAATTAACTAACTAAGAGTAAGTTATGACATTTCCACTTTTAAAGGTTACAAACGTTTATATTATGCAGCTTATGGTATTCTCAGAGGCCCAGAATCAAGCATGCATGAAGCAAGCTGGGAACAGAGCACTCTTTTAAAAAAATTCCATATTACACACTAATTTTTAGTACATGCCAATATGAGAATTATAAATCATGCAGAATTTCTTTCCAGTGCCCATTTTCAAACAAAGTGAATGTCCAAAGTAACATTTCTCAGGTTTTTTTATTTATCTCCATACCCTTATGTTCACTCATTTCAAGCACCTGTCGGGCACACTGATCTCTCAGCTGCCTACTGCAGTGTGGGTTTGGCACTTGCCTGCATGGTACAGAGCAGGATGCAGAGGGATCTCTGAGGATGCGTCCCTTCTAGACACCATAGCCTGATCTAGCTTATCTTGGATTGAGGATGCTCAGAGGTCTGTAGTTCAAACACACATCTGCCCAGCTAATGGGGTCAAAACATCTTCTTTCAGTAATGGATTGGCTCTCTCTTGGGTAAAGTGCCTCTAAGAGAAATTGAGAGGAGATCCATCCTTAAATAAGATTTGATGCAGCCCAGGAGAATGACAATTACATCTTCTACTAATGCTATTCCTAAGGCAAAGTCATGCTTTGTAGGAAAGAGGATGATGGAGTATTCAGGGAGCTTTTTTAGCATAGTGACTAGTAGATAAGTCCATGTTACAGAAAAGTTTTGTGAGAGAGAAAATGAAGCTTACGTAAGTAGCTCTTCTGGTGGAGACAGTGAGAAGTGTCCCTGTGTGGGTCACCTTGCTAAAGTCTGAGTTATTTTCTTCTTGTGCTAAGTGCAGCTGGTGATGGCGACAGACATTTTTATCCAACAGGTGAAAAACACCAGAGCCACCCCTGGAGTTAAAGTTCAGGGAGGCAACTCAGATGTACAGTAAAGAGGCACTCAGAAGGGGCTGCCAAAATCGGATTAGAACCGCAACTAGGATTCACACCTGAGCAGTCCTTTGTTGGGGTTTGGTGTGTCCTGTGGCATAAGTCTCAGCCAACAGGTCATGGAGGGCTGGGCACAGGTGGTTACAGTGGAGGCAGTGGGCTCCATCGCCACCTGAACTTTATCACCTGAAATTTAGCACATGGTAGCAGCAAACCTGCCTCATGACTCACCAGTGCAGGGAGAGCACCATTGCTGGGCAGGAACATCAGTGGCAGGGAAGGGAGACCCCACCGTTAGAGTAATCACTGAGCAAAAATCTATCTGAGCAAAAGCTAGGTTGTTTTCCTTGCCCCTCTGAGGCTACTGATTTCCAGAAAATCCAAGGCACCCATTATTCTTGAACTCAAATCCTGATTTCCATGACAGGTCAGAGGCTGAAATATAAATTGGAGAAATTAGCAGTAGTTGAGGCCTTGCCTGTCTCTGACCACTTAATTCTCAATTTTCTAATTCCACAACCTTCTACACGTGCTGGTTTTCAATGCAAGATGTAACAGTAGACTCTCCAGTCATCTGTCCTAGCTTAACTAACATCAGTCATCTATTCTGGATACCCAGGACACTTGCATAATAATCCTGGCCCAGACTCCTACAGTAGCACTCATTTGTCAGAAGATCAAGTTGCACGGTGGCACCACAGCCCCTTCAGAAAGGTGGCTGCTGCCCTCTTGCTCCCACCTGCTGTCACCCAGCATAGGAGATGGCACAGTCTTCCCTTTTACCCTCTTTGTCTTTCTCCCTTTTTTTTCATAGTGCTTGCACTCACTGCAGGACTCTACTGTATGGGGAGTGTCCTTTTCCTTGAAGAAACATAAGTCAGCAGCGTGCCATTTGTGCTTCCTGTGACAGCTATCTTTTCGTTAAACTCACCTCTCCCCTCCACTCTCATCCTGCGGTCTGACGTGCCCC